CTTCCAAGCTTCACAACTACAGTCCCATGTTCTTTGACCACAACACTCACATTAAATTATACCTCCTTTATCCAGCACATGTTCTTGAAGTACTGCTTTCCTACTCTAACCTTTCTGATGCTGTCCTCTCCCTTTCTTCACTTTAGCACTCAGAAATGCAGGATGTTTCATTTCAAGTCCCAAGATCCCGTTTTGATTTTTCTAGTGATTTCCAACACTATCAAGATGGTCCCAGAGTCAGAACAGAAGCTATTTCACACATGCACACGCACAAGCTGCTGTTCCATTGAGGGACAACAAAAATTTAGATGCCTCACAGTTTTGGGAGAATGAAAATTCATCTTAACTTTCTAGACCAAACATTCATCAGAAGGACTGTGTTTCAAAACTGCAGATGAGGAGTCTGAAGAGACGTGAAAGCTTTATGGATTTGATTGACATGTCTGTCAGGGAAGTGAGAGAGTATTAAATATATCCTTCTTCACAAAGCAAAATTCTGTCATGCATAGACCTTTGGTATATGGTTTGCAGACCACTAACCTTTGTTTGTCCCTACAAAATCAGTGGTGAGAAGCAGCCTTGCACCAAGCTAGCCTAGGGAGAATCTCACTTCAAAGGAGTTACTTCGTTTCTTAACTTTGTAAGATATCACTCAGATATCCCTTAAAAGGAAGAACCAAAGCATCTGGAACCAACATTTGGATTTCATTCCAGCAGGGCCACTGTCTGGGGAAGTCACCCAATCATCTCTGCCATTGTCAGGAACAGCTCTTGCTGCCAGTGGAGAGCAATCCTACTTATAATTAGTTAATGAAAGGCAAGAGCAGTAAAACATACGTGTAGCACTATGCTGTCCTGGCTGGTATAAATGCACTGGTCTTGCTGCAAGGCTGAGCTGTCTCTGCAGCTTCCTCTTGCTGACCAATTTACAGGAAACTGCAAGAATGGACTGTAGCTAAAAGCAGTGCAAGAGGAGCACAGCAACAGACGAGGCAGAAGAATTAACAAAGCAACACAAAAATTAAAAAAGCATAAGAACCACTTTCTTTCAGCTGCAGCAAGTAGTCAGCTCAGGAGTCAAGTTCTGCTCAGAAAAATGCAAGACTTCATACATTATACATTTCCATAAGAGCCTACAGTATAGTAAGGCATCAAGTAAGGGCACAATCTGTTAATCCTTTACTGACTTGAACAAGCTTCAAATCAGGAGTAGATTATTAGAAGCCTTACTATTTTATTAATTCTACCAAACTAGTTTAGTCCTAAGTTTCTAGATCACAGTGGAAACACATCCACTATATTGACAGGTGATATGTTTGTCATCTGTATGCTTCACAACTGAAGATAGTAAAAGAGCAAGTGCAAATTACTTGCCTGGATCTTCCATCTACTAAGAAAGGGATTCTTGTGAAAATATGAAAAAACATGCATCAGAATTACTTCTGCTGGATCAACTGCAGCATTATCATTAACAATAAATAAACCAAAATCAGAAACAAAGGAAAAAAATACAGCCAGATCTTCCATAAATCCTCTTCCAATGTCAAAAGAATTCCTACTCTTAAAACTTCAACTAGCATTCCTTCCTTCAGCTTACTTTGGAAGAGCTGAAGAAGCCCTAATAAAATCTGAAATCTTGATAATATATATTCAATCTAAAATCAAGAAACACTTCAGGTCCAAAAGCTTCCAAGTTTCTACTTATACCCCATTGGCTCTTCAGCTCCAAACATCTGTAGACATATGAAACAAAAAGCCAGCCAGCACTGGTCTGCAATAAATAAACCATACATCAGAGATAGAGCTTATCTGTCTTAAAACAAAGCTGTAACTTTTTGTGATTGCTTCACCAAACAGCTTGGCACATGTTCTAGAAGATGATATCATGACTTTGATTTTGAGATATGGTTAATGTCATCTATTGCTCAAACTTCTCTAAATCAAAGTACTGTTGCAAAGTATTTGCAGTATAGGCATAGCATCTAAAAAAGCAAATTAGGCTGTGCAGCTGGAAAAGAAGCACCTTCTGAAAAGTCTTAATAGAAGAACATAACCATTGAACAGATTCTCTTACACCACCTAGCCTTGAAAATAACACAAGGCTTTATATTAATGTATTGCAGGGCCTCTCACTACACATTACCAATGCCCCATTTCCATTTACTATTCAAACTAGATGGACACAATCTTTTCTTCCTTTTAACTGTTACCTATATACAAGGTCCTTGTACAAGAGACTGTAAATGCTGCTATGGCTATGATTAACTGCTGTCTTTCATCAGTGCTTGTAGAACAATTTAAAGTAGAACATAGATAAAAAAGACATGTAACAAAGCAGAAGTACAACCATGATTGCCAAAATCCTTTTCCTGCAGACAGCTGTGCTGCAGACAGCTGCAAATGGAGTTTCCCCAAATACACGTAGACACGAAAAGTGGGAGTTTCCACAAGTGATTTATTTCCTTGGCAGAGGTTTTCAATTCCAAGATATTACTGTTAAAACAATTTTATTGCTAGGCTGGTTTGTGATGAATTGCATGCAATTCTGTCACTAAGGTACTCATAATTGATAAATTCTGTTGGACTCCAAAATGATTTCTGCTTAGATATCAAAACAGCTTTCAGCATTTAAGCTGGGAGACCATGGAACTTCAGTAAAAGCAACACCTAAATAAAGGCTTTCATTGATGATTTGAAAGCTTATCTGATAGGTACAACTTGCCATATAAAGTCTGTTGCTGGGAAATATTTTTCCTGCTTTCTTAGAATTTTACTTAAATCATAAATATAAAGTACATCAAAGTCCAAGAGGAAAAAAAAAAGGCAATACCCCACCTTAGTAGCCTACACTTAGGTTTACTATTTTCTACCATTTCTGGTACTAAAGCATTTTGGCAAGACATAAACATCCATCAGGTCATTGTATACTGTACCTGTACAAGACTAACGTAACTTAGGTCCAAGACTACTATTGCCAGATAAAGAGAGTATTCTGTCTGAATGCATATGTCAATCAACATAAATATAAGCAATTTTAAAACAGTCCTGCAGTAGGATATTAAAACAAACAAAACCACATAAAGCTCATAGAGAAAGTCCTTTTGAATGTCTATCAGCAAAAAACTGCAATGAGTAAATTCATAAACTCTACCACTGACCCCCATAGCAACCTACTCATTGAATCCTAAGGAAATGCAGCAAGCCCTGGTTTAGAGGAAGCATTTGATCTCATCATCAGAGTCCTTCAAGCCTGTGTGTCCCTCTCCTGGCAGACAGCAGGAACCTTAAAGTTAAAAAAATATACCTCTGCAGGCAAATGACTGCAACCAGCAGCAAAAAGGAAGCTCAACTTCTGTCAGATCCTGGAAAAACAAAACAAACATTTTCTATTTATATTTTGCTTCTAAAGAGACTATGTGATACAATTTAAAGACACGGTATAACTGCAAAGAGAAGAGAAGGTAGTGTGGAGATCTCATAGTAG